ATAAAGCAAATGAATTACCACAGGCTTCACTATTTTGATTGTGTGTCGGTATCAGTAGGCTTGCCGATTTTCTGCACCAACCTCATGATACCCTCAAATCGCCGTTCGGGGCGTCCCACGATACCGCTAAATGTCTGGCCTCGTGTTCCAAAAACAAAGAGAGATTCCTGTAACAGAGAAGGCGAGCCAAGTCTAGAACCACACGAGCTCCTCTAAGAGTTGGGTTTCTAATGCAGGGTGGCTTCCAAAGCCAGCGAGAACGGGAATTTCATCATGTGAGCGTGGAATTTCTACCAAGGCAGACGACGATTTCACAGGTACTGTAGTTTCAGGGAACTATTAGTCTCCAAGCCTCCTGTCAGTTGAGTTAGCATCTCGGACGGTAGTAGCTGGCAGTGCGGAAAGCGACTGGCATTTATCACGGTTTCATGCAAATGGTCCGCCAAGTTCATGATTGTTTGAGCTCTTTGATTCATTGAGCTATCTCTTCTGTGCTGTAGAGCCCTCTGGTGGCCTTTACCTCCGCTCGCCAAATTCTTCTCATGGCTAGTCATACCGTCGTCATTGCCATCCTTCCATTTGGTAGTCCTTGACTCTTTGGTACCTCCTTTACTAGGTTCTCCTACACTCCAATGAAAGCCTTGTTCCGCCCCCGAGATCGTACACAACGTGCTTTTTTGGAGCACATCGCCAAAGAGACATAAGAAACAAACAATATGTAGACGTTATTAGTCATACAGGTATCTCCGCATAAAACGCCATCCAATGAAATAGTAAATATAAGAAGAGAAAATACTTCGCCAACAAACTCCGTTCAGTGACCGAAAAAGTTGGATCATACGCTTTTACCGCCCGGTGTAGTCGAGTGTCTATAACGTTTTTTTTTTGTAGCGCGTGCGATAAATGCCAGTGTTGATACAGGTCGCGGATCTGGGCTTAGATCCAGTTGCGCTTGTCGTGTTCAGCAGAACATTGGCAATTCTGCTTGGTGCACTTGACCGGCGACTTCTTTCGCTGCGCAGGGGTGTTGAAGCCAACACCCTGAGGGCTAGTCACCCTCGTCTTCTGAGGGCTCTCAGGCCTGTAAACAGCCGGGCTGAGAGTAAGCTGCTCCGGCTCTTGCTCCTTGAGCTGGGACTGTCTGGGTACAGTGACCTTGGGAACAGATGGGAGCGTCTTCATCCGCAAATCCTTTTGGGGGCGGATGGGAGAAGACGAGACCAAGGTCGCATCCTCCTCAGAATCGGATGAACCGCTGTCGCTCAGGACGTCGACCTGAGCCAAGGGGCTGGGCCGCTTGATAGGCTCGTCGTCCCTCTCATCGGGATAGCTCAAGCTGTTCACGCTGGCATTGTTCTGGAAGTACTGTGAGTTGAGCGGGGGCATGTCGTCGACGTTTGACAGCCGCAGGCCAATCTGCACAGTCGCTGAAGATGCAAGCGAAGAATCGCGACGATGACGAATGCCCTGAGGGTGAAGTGATGGCGGAGGTCTGAGCAGCAACATCTCGTCCTCATCAGGGATTCTTGCCCCAGGGGCGTATGTCTTCGCCGGAAGCAGAGTAATTGACTTGGTGTTGTTGTTTTGCTCAGATGGGAACAAGGAGTAGGACCTCTTGCGAGCATGGGCCTTTGGCACCTGGTAGGTAGATACTTGAGCAGGCTCCGGCGTCCTCAGAGGGGAGCGGGCCGGCTGCCATACGGCGTTTTGTCGGAGAGGGTTGGCATAGGTGGGAGACCCAGAGGGACTCTCGATGCGTGCCTCCTCCTCCTTCTCGGGCACGAGGCTGTCGGTGCTGTCCATGCGTCGCAGCGAACGGGCCCGGCCGACAGGGTTCATCATGTGGTTTTCGTAATCATCGTCGCCGTTATAGACACGAATGCCGGCCTTGAGTTTATTACGCTCTAACTCCCACTTGTCGCTTTGGCGGGGACCGATAGTAGATAGAGTATTTGATCGCAAGAATAGATGCAGACCGCCGGTCAGTAGGCCAGATACGTTGGCGACGACGGAGGCAATCATGGAAAGCGTCAGGGCCTGGCCAGTGGCACCTCGCTGTTCCGTGAACGAGAGGTTGAAGAAGAAGGGGATGAGGAGAGTCTGTATTGGTCAGTAAGTGGACTCGGACAAGATGTCATTGTTAATACTCACAGTCGAGATGAAGGCTACTGCCAGGAAGTAGACCATTCTAGACGCGGCAATACGCTCACTGTTCTCGATTCTGATGTTGTTGTGGAGACGGAAGAAGATCACCAGAGCCGAGCCCAGCAACGCCGCCGAGATAAAAGTGAGAAGTACGAAGCAGCCCTCCTTCCAGCGCTGGACGAACCAGAAAAGCGAGGCAAAGCAAAAGTTGGGAGGGCGGACGAAGAGGGTGACTAGGTAGGTAATGAGGAGAAAAGTGCCGACGATGGCGAGGCAAATGGTAACATTCCACTTGCCACGAGACGGCAGTGGGTTCTTTCGTAGAGACCGGATGGCCACCTCTAGAGCGAATACGAGTTGGATGTACGGAACAATGAAGACCGCTAGATACGATTGTTAGCTGAGCTTCTGGGATACGTAAACGAAGGCTACGAACCAGGCAGCATCATTTGGGAGGTGATGGTGCAACCCAAAGTCAGGAGATGGTCGAGTCCAGTCGACTGTGCAATGGCAAAGACGATGCCTTGAACGACGATGCCGACAGATAGAACGAGAGGAAAGGACTCTGCAGGTCCGACAAAAGTGAATCCATGCGTTCTGGAGCATAACGTTAGTCCATTGACTTGACTCATTGGTGACGGCAGTGACGAGCGTACCTGAAGCCGAACTTTTGGTTGTTCCTCTTGGCCGTTGCATAACCATCCCAAAAGATACCAATTGCTGTTGCAAATGCGGCAATAACATTGAAGACGGCGAGAATGATGGTTGAGGTTCGAATCGATTTGGCGGCTTGGAAGCGGAACTGGTTGATGATGGCCGATGTCGAGTTGTTGGTGGCCTTGAAGGGTCCTCGTAATGAATCCGCCACGCCATTACCGTCCGTCACGCTGTCATCGTCGGCCCTCGTCCACAAGTCGCCTCCATATCCCCAGCTATCCATCTCGTCGATTATTCAACTGGCACTGGTCGTCGAAGAGATGAGCGCAGGCGTCGAGCCGCAGCGGTGCCAGGTATTAATTCGCTTTCCGAACCATCTAATCCATAGAAGAGTCGATGTTGATCCGGTCGTATGAGGTGTAGAAGAGTATAGGTGAGTCGAACAAGGAGAGTGAGGAGAAGAGGAGGAGGAGGATGGCGATCGTACGGATGGGATGGAGAAGTGAAAAGAGTAAGTGAAAAGACAGGATGGATGGTAATGGACTGCCGCTCTTGGACGAAGAAGGCGGACCAGACGAAACAGACACTAGGCGAAGTCGGGACCTACGAATAGAAACAAGGAGTAATAGGACCAGCCACTCAAGAGAAGGAAAGGGACCGGCCTGAAGGAAGGGAAGGGAAAAAGAGACCAGTTCCAAAAAGTCAGACGGAAGGAGGAGGAGGGAAGGCCGCATGAAGAGGTCAAAAGGCGATCACAGAAAGCGTGGCAGAGACGGAGAGGCCCACCTCAGCAGGGGGCTAACATAGATAGATAGGTACCCAGTCGCAAGTTGCAAGGGACAGGCTCGGGAAGGGCCCCCGCGCGGGCCAGATGAGGTCCGGAGAGTTAGCCAAACCGCTAAATGGGGCCCAAGTCCAACTTTGGTCCAGGGTAACACGGTTGATGGATGGCCTACCAAAGAGGGCGAGGACGAGGGCGAGGGCCAGAGCAAGGGTGACGACCGTGACACTCTTGTGGAAAAGACGGGCCATCCAGAAGACGGGGACAGGAACGAGCGAATGAGACGCAGGCTGTACCTCGAGTCGACGTGCGACTGGATGGTGGGCAGTGAGGGGCTCAGATGGGGCGAACGTCTCTCGACGTGCATGTTGCTGGTTTGGGGATGGACTCCTAGGGCCACCATACATAGGTACACGCAGTCACGTCCAGTACGGTTTGGTATCATGGTATCCAGGTATCTTGGTCTTGGTCCTCCTAGAGAGGGCTCAAGAACATGGAAGACAGGGCTGGGCGCGGGATGATAACCATGTTCATCACGACCCCGCCGACTAACTGGCTGGGCTGATTTGGGATTATTTGCCGTGCTTGCCTCTCAGGCCCTTTGGCTTCCAGTGGAGCAAGGTGCTCCAGCTCAACGATACGAAGACCATGGGAACCTTGGGAGGGGGAGCTGAGGTGAGGAGAAAAAAACTGGGCTCTCATGCAGTCTCCCGTCGCAACGAGCCGGCAGAATATGTGCTGAGGATGCCTGAGGTGCAGCAGCATGCGTGTGTGCCGGAGCGAACCCAGACTCGAGGCTCGAGGGACAGGCACCGTCAGAGTGAGAGAAAGGAACAGACACAGAGGGCGAAAGACTGAGTGAGGGTGTCACTGTGGGTGAGGATGAGGGCAAAGAGGAGGGCTTGAGGCGATGGCATTGAGTGGCGATGAGGTGAAGCAGTGATGTAACACGTCTGGGTTTCGTAGTGTCGCCCAAGATGCCTGAGCCCCTGGCTGTGAGGTTGAAGTTGACAAGGTTTGACGTTGGACTTGAGCCCCAGATCTGGGGGGCACTAGGAGACAACCTTTGTGCGCCTTGCTGTTTTGGGACTAGTGCAGTGTTGCCAAGTGAGTGGATCAAACCGCCGCAGGGATCGTGGAAGGGGCGGCTGATGGCGATGCCGAAACCTTTTTCGTTCCCTCTCCTCAGAACCCTCCAACCCGCTCAACTCCTCATCAACCCCTTCTCAGTCTGCCTATCCAATCGTGTCGTTTTTTGCGGCCCCATCTTCCTCTGATTCTGTTTAATCTGGTCTGGTGTGCCGAAATCCTCTCGAGATGCGGTGGATGCGGCGCCCTCCTCCTGCCTCCAGATGGTAGGTGGGTTGGTTGGGAATGGCCTCACCAGTTCGGCTCAAAAGTCCTTGGTTGGCAATACATGTGTCCACACCGGCAGACACATTCAAGAAAGACAACAACACACACGGGAAATGCACAGCCAACGCAGAGGCGCAGGCTACTTCATTGGTGTGTATCGAGTCAGCGCTGCAATCTGCGAGTTATGCCCGATCGTGAGTTGCTGCGGCCATGTAGCGAGGCGCACGGAGAGGGCGGCGTCAACGTCAACGCCTGGTTCCAGCCCACCAGCCAGGCAAACACAATCCACATGGCGGGGATGCTTCTCACTTCCTCATCGACTCGACCTGGTAGCCCACTAGCCCTCTTCACGGGATGTTTCTGCCAGTCGGAGGGCCTGGGCTGTTGCACCAGCTATCTTGGTCCTGGACTCCTGCACGTGTCTACCCTTGCCACGGGGCTCGGTGTTGCCAGGGCATCCGTTGCAAACCTTTCTCAATCTCAAATATCTCGAGCTAGGCTATCAGAGGGACAATACAACTATCCAACAGGAACAGAGCGCCATCTAGTGGTTCCAATACCGTCTAGTAGTCGACCAGCCTGTGATGGACGAATCGAATCTCGTTGACGGCTGATCAAGTTCGTCTGTTTCCACAGATTTTCGAGCGATGAGGCAGATACCGTGTCACATGAGCTGAGATGGCCTGCACAGGGGCTCGGACGAGGGCCAGCGACAAGGATCCATGCCGTCAACAGCCCTGCTAACATGCACACTTACATCAGGCTATTCCTTCCACGGCTAGGGTAATGCTGCTTTGACGGCACCGAGCCGTGCGAGCCCAGTAGGCCCAGATCTGTCTGGCACGTCAGACCTCCCTAGCCCCCGTACGAAATGTGACGGCGTTGCGACTGGCGGCACGTCAAAAGAGACGAGACAAGCAAGACATGCACCTTGCGCGAACTACTGACGAGGAACAAGCGAACGTCCATCATCCGTCGCTTGGGGGCGGGCGCCGCTGCGGGGAAGGGCGATCCCTCGCCTCTTGCCACGAGACGCCTATAGACGATGGCGCGTCCGTCACAATTTCGAAGATCATCAAGTTGTCCTTCGGAATCTGCTTCGAGAGTCCCTTGGTCCCCTCATTCACAGCTGATACGATCTGCAAGATAAAAGAGGGCCGTCTGTGATGGATTCCGGGCGACTCCAACACAACGGATACACGGGGACAAGCTCAAAGACTAGTCAGTAGTGCGACACTATTCTTCCGAAGACAAGAATGGCGCCAACCCGCATCAGGTGCCAATGGCCGTCAAACACTTTAATTAATCTCCAACATGTCAACCCTACGGATATTGAGCCCGCTGCTAGCTTGGGGCACTAGTCACAACCTTGAACCAAATCTTCAACGCTTGGCTGCATCGCCCCCACCGACCAAGAGTGCCCGCGGTGACCAACCAGCCGGTGGAATATGGTTGCTCCGAGATGATGAGGGACTACAGTCTACTGCGTACGCAGGCTTGTGGCCGTCGCCGTGTCCTTGCCCACCTCGCATCACTGAGCTCGCCAGCGTCCCGTCAGTCCGGGGAGACCCACGTTCGTTGCTGAACCGGCCCTCGCCGTCGATCAAACGGGATATTCAGACTGACGTACAGCCAAGGGACGGACATCGCGACTACCCCTCTGCAGTTGCCATCTTACGATGTCCAATTATAGCGGACAGGGTCGAAAAATCCTCGCCCCAATTCGCTTGCCACTTGCAGATTCCCACGTTGTCGCGTTCTTCCATTCGTGGCTTCTATTCTATGGTTCTCGATCATGCCACGGGTGTTTGCCGCTTCTCCCGAGCCGCACTTGGGATTTGACTTGGCCACATCACCAACCTCGCACGGCAGCTTATTAGTCGGCCGGCTTCACGGGTCTTGACCGACGTCATGAGAGGCTGCCTTCGAGAAGTTACTGCTGAGGATCACCATTGCAATCTTCTTGGCAACGTTGCCACCTCCACCTGGTGTTGTTGAGATGAAATGTTGGAAAACGGGAGGGCAAGAAACTGTCATCCAAAACCATCTCCGTTGCCTTCCCATCCAATTTCCCTCTGAGAATTCTCCTGAACCCCGCGGCTTTGGGGGGTCATCCAATGTCATCTAACAGCATTTGTTTATGGACTCGTCTGAAGTGAGTGCGAGGGCGGTAGCAGTGAGCCTCTTCTGGCGCGGGTGTTTCATCCCAATCATCACCAACCCGCCTACGAATGGCTGCTCGAACTTCCGGAAAGTGGGAGAGATTTGTTTTCTCTGAGAGCGAGTTCACGGCATCGCGGCTATGATCTATCCAGCCAAAACGATGCAGGTTCGGAATAGGCGTCGTCACTATTACGATTTGACTTTTCATTGGAGCTATAGAGGTGAGGAACCGTCAGGAAAAAGACCGGACGACGAACGAGTCGGCGGCTTTTGCTGCCTGCCGCCAGCGTCTTTCGGTATTCGCCCCGGGTATTCAACAACAAGCGTTGGACGTAGAGAGCCGCTTCGTCATGCAATATAGCGTGCCCGACTCGTTGACCTCGACATTCGTCGCCTTGGCAAGTACTAGGCATGCAAGTTGAAAAGTTTAGACGATAGTTTGCCCAACGTGAGCCACCCAAAGGGTCCGGTCCGCATGGTCGCCAATGCTACAAGATGATGTGCTGGGTGAGTCTTTTCCCTCGACTGGACGATGATCCCTTTTTTCGGCAGGCCTCTCCACCCACTTGCTTGGCTATCTGAATCCTTTTCTGGTTCAGACGATGAAGCATATAGAGTGATGTCAGGTGAGATGCGAAAACGAAGATGGGCAACTGACTCACGAGATTTGTGCGTGCTGCGCGGGGGGATGGGGACTGGAGACTGCTCTCGTGTTTCCAGCCTGGATAGCCGGCAGGCGTACGTGCCGTTCATGGAATACAGACGGGCCGACGAGGGATCGACGGCGCGGCACCAGATTTCTTCTTTCGGCGGTACTGCCGCATTCTCGCTTTTCCCTAACCACGGCGTCAACGTCTTTGCCGCGTACTTCACACGTGCCCGAACGAACTGCTTGAGGAGGCTCTGTTTGATCTTGGTAGTGTGTCCCTTGGGCCGAGTTGAGCATACTTGGGACACATGATTCGTGGCCGAAGTCGATCACACATGGAAGGCTATATTCAGAACATTATCAACGTCGTTCAAGCCCCATCAAGCGGCTCTCTCCTCCGGCGTCCGCGTGTCCGGCCTGGGTATCTCGTGTGGTCGGCGTAACCAACTATAGATATACTCTAGCCCAGCCTTTTTTGATGAATTGCTCAATCAATGTAGTGTCCAAATAAGAAGAAGCCCATTCAAAAGCCAGCGTCTAAATGGCCCACAAGGCCAGATCCCAAACCCCGCACAATATCTTGGTCAATGCTTGAGAGAAGAGGGCCGGCCGCTTGAACATGTTGACCAAAGCTGGTTGTTTCCGCCCCCAACAGGGCCACCAACCCACCCGGGCCCGTCCGCCCTTTTGCCTAGACCTCTTGCAGAGAGGAAGCACGACTCGACGCACTATCCATGACGACGATGATTAGAATGTGGTTGTCTCGAATTGATTGCGAAGGTCCGAAGACGAAAAAAATCTTCATAAGCTCGTCTAGACTGCTTTACCCAACCGTATAGAGACTGTTCTCCGGCTCACGTAATTGAGGCTAACCACTGGAAGTCGCACATGAATTATGACTGTGCATGGATGGAGATGAAGGCCCGATGAATCTAGGGCCGTGTGCGTGTTGGCAGAAATACAACAGAGATGGTCTTTGTGTGGCCCTCTGCCGAGCGTCTAAAATAGGCGTCATCATATAGTCGCCAATGCAATGACTAAAGTGTGGTTTCTCAACGAGAGGAATCATGATTTTACATTCAATGAAATCATTTAATCCATTTTCAAACGTACTGATTTCTAATAGCTTCGGCCATGGTTGTCAGCAATTTAGACGTCTGCTCGGCTGCTCCACCACTAGCGACCCACCTCACATGTGGATCACGATAGCTTCACAAAAATACCAAAAACATACAACACCAGGTATTCGCTGGTCGTCACCGACCCAACTACTAATCCGGCCCTCATTGGCTTATCTATGGGAGAGCGGACGGGATCCCGAGTTTTCCAATGGGTATGGTCGTATGTGGTGGTTTGATGATGCCAAGTTGATTATGACTGAAAGAAATCAAGCGAATGTCGACCACCAGACCTCGCTTGAGCTCCTACATCTTGCACGATGAATTCGGTATGGTTGTTACTGTATTCTATCTCAAAGCTATCTATTACAGTATGTATCTCGGCGGTCGAGCAGCTCAAGCTACTCTGTTGATGGGGAGGCAACTACTTCGGCCACAGTATCTCAGCCCTGAAGATATCAAAGGCCCTCACTTCAGACAAGGTCCGCTTTCCCACAGTCGCACCTGAAAGCCGATTGAGTACGTATAGTCAATAGAATAAACCCCGACTGGCTTCGTTCTTTACTGCGAAAAATTCCCTTGAAACAAACCATGGGCGGCCCGTTCCAGTACGGGACTCACGGCAACCCAAGAACATCGGACTCGAAGACCCGACAGTGGACTACTCGGGGCTATCGCCTCAATACCTCGTTCGATAAAACATGAGGTCCTCCGCAATAGCACAAAAAAGAGCCTCAAGGCGTTGTGGGGAGTCTGTTGTTCGCTGATCCGATTTGACGAGGTTTCGACGGCCCCCGTAACGCCCGATGATACACTTCCCACATACCGTCCGGTAGATCGTCTCCCCTTCCCCGTCCTCCCTCTCTCTCGCACCCGTCGTAACATCTGAGATACTACACCCCAGAGGTAATCCACCAGTCGCCACGACGACTTGAGATGGTCATTAAAGATATGCTACATCTGAAGAATCGGATTCTCGTCACCGATTGCCTCAGTATGAGTCTCAAGGTGTAGAGGGGGTTGAAGACCCCACGTCAGGCCGTCCCTTATCGATACTGCAGGTGTAAAGACAAAAGGGTATCAGAGATTTCGGTATGTGGTGCCGATGGCGAGGCCGCCGTTGCTCGTCGCAGGAGGTAGTATTCGGACTATTTTTTGGGGGGGCGGTTCCTAACCGATTGGCCTTGCCCGGGAACCTGGGGACACTTGGTGATGGGGATTTCAACTACCGCCGATTGAGCTATCGCAGTCGCTTCGAGGAACGAATTGGGAAAATGGGGGGAATGGTTCACAGTCCTGCCCTTTATCGTTAGTATCACTCTTGGCGGGCTACCAGAGAGCGGCAGGCATAGCTAAAGCTGCTGTCTCACCTTACTGCCGACTCTCACTCCATCCTGGCTTGGAGTGCTATCCTTCGCACATCGAAGGGAAGCAGATCGGAAATACCTAAGAGACTAGGAGGTGGGCGTGGACTGAAACTCCATGTGATTATCATTTTTGTCATTGCCAACGTGAACATGTTAACCGCACTCCAAGACAAGAGCTGGTTTGGGCTCTTGCAAGCTTGTTGATGTGTATCGGGCCTTGAAATGCATCAGAAACAGAATTCCCCGTATTGGGGTCATTGGATATCATACGTCTACTTCATGATAACTCTTACATGAGACAACGTATCAGTGCTACTGCAAAGTCTTTGACCCCGAGTGCGCAACTAGTCAGCCTAGGACAGATACCGTTTAGCTTTATTCGATGGATTCAGATCCTATCAGAATCTCTGGGCCCTTCCTACCTTATCCAAAAGGATTTCAGCTCGTATCAACCCAATGCCCTCATTATATTGTTTGTACTGGTTCACGTAGATATCTCATTGACCATATACGAACAATGTACGCCAAATATGCTGTCAGAAACGCTCATAATATTCGTACCAGCGGTGTTGAAACAGGATATCCGCCATGTATAATGCCGATTCTTTCATCTTGTGAATACATTCTTGTTCATGGCTCGGCGTATGGATGGTGGTGCTGGCCGAGCGGGTGTTCCGGGTGACGTTGCTCGGTTTCGGTGGACTGAATAAAGACATCGTTTCCGGCCACGAGTATATGGAAACATGACCCTTATGCCCTTAACTTATACTTGGAAACCTCGGTTGGAGCTTATAGAGGCAATGCTCTATGTCACGAACTTGGCAAAGTGCTACATGCTATGGCCTCGGCAGAGCCCAGCTCTCATCGGCTTTGCGCTCGATCTCATCTGGCTTTCGGCCTGTATGTAAACCACCCAATATCACTTGATCTTTGTTGAGCTTTGAGAAGTATTTGAATCTCAATGGTCTCATTTCAGCATTAGTCTCGAATAGATTTTGAGCGGCTGAGCCCACGGAATGTGGGGGAAAGACGCCTTCATTCTCACACTTCACCTCGCCACGAAGAATGAGTGCAGCAGTAAATGCAGCTCAATCTACACAGCCTGATTGTCCCAATAGAAGTAAAACTCAGAAGCATATTCGTCAGTGTCTCACGACTCCCTCTTAGGATATCCGAAAAGCATGGACTTAAATGATGGTAAAATGCGTTCAATTGATTTGACTTCCTGAAGGCTGTAATTTAGACCCACGAGAACAACGACAACATCAAGGGCGTCTTTGGGTCCACTATGAAAAAGCATAGACTCCATGATCTAGATGTTTTTGACTCCTTACCAACCTGATACTTATACGCTGATGTCTCTTCTCATATCGCAGACACCTTCGCATCATCCTTGGCTTGAGCTGAATCACCAAGTCACAACTTTCACGCCCCAAATCAATCAAGCCATGAAGTTCGGATTCATCATCCTGCTATCCACAGCAGTTACTGCTGCTGAGGACGAGAATACACGATGGTGTAATCACGAACCAAGTGACTCCGACCTTACTTGTGATGGTGTGAGTAAATTCATCATAAGATACCTTTGCAGACGACACGCGACTGATTCTGGCTTAGAGACCATCCGTCTACTGTGTAAGTATCCCTAACCCGTACCGACGACTGGTGCTAACTTCCTCGAACAGTGTGACCGGATTCTCAATACCTTGGCGCAGCCAAAACGAAAGAAAGATCTCCCAGTCAAGCGCTCATGTGGCAGGCAAGGTATACATGTACGATCGAGAATTATGCGGCTGCTGGTCTCATTGGTGTAAGTCCCCTTCTACTTGCAATTGATGCTGTAGCTCAGAACTCGAGCTAACCATGGGACAGCATGCCGCCTGCGTAAGAACGTGCACCAGCCACGGCCATGTCAATACCAACCCATATACCAGTGCTAAACGGTGATATTTTAACGATTCAAAGGTATCAGGGAAAGATTATCTTTGTTTGACTTGCCCGCTCAAAACGATTTAAGGAGAAAGGCGCCGGTCTTGGGGAGGCGGATGACTGTATCATACTTGTCTGGAGTCGTGTAGATGAGAAAACATTTCCCTGGCTGTCGTGAAATCAACTCGTGAGATGGTACACGTACTCGTAGTTTCTGTGTATGGCAACCCGAACAGCTATGCTTTCTGTATTGCGTGACTAATAGGCGGGAAGATGCATCATCGGTCTTGCTCCGCGATGTATGATCCGCTCGTATCTACTGCTGGACTCCAAAGACACAAACACACACAAGGCAGTCAGACGATCACGTCATGTATATTCGGCCACATCTCCCGCTAGGTCTCACATCGGCTCTGCCCCGCGTTGCGCGCGATGGGACGGCTTACACTGTCGGTGGGCTTAGCAAGCTCACTTTTGTTACTGACTACATATTGAGTCTAGCCATCAGCGCACAAGGAAAACCGCCGGCCATCTAATCTCCAAAAAGCCTACTTGGCCGCCGCCGGTCATTAAGCCCGACTGCAGGAATTTTTGTTATTCCAATGTGCCTCAATACATTTAATTTTGGAGGGACGATGAATGATTGCCTTGGCGAATGCACGACGATGACTGTGTTTGAAATAATTGATTTTTCTCTGAGCAAGGAGAGACATTTCTTGACACTTGAGCATGACACTTGAGCATGACCCTATGTATTCCGCCCCATGATATCACGTAAAAATCCTAACATAACTTCCAGTGCGTTTAGCTATCAAGGCCAAGACTCTGAAAAGTAGTCGAGCGAGTAGCTAATCAACACCGGCCGTGACGAACTCGTTCTGGCGAAAAAGGAGACAAGCAACTTAAAACTATGGTCTGCGCCGTCTCGGCAACAACCTAATTTTGGGGGAAATGACACCAAGAGCCTGCGCCTCTCTGTCGAGGCGAGCCTCAAGAAGCTCCAGATCACGTACATTGACCTCGCCACCTCCACTTCAGGGACATGACCGCCGATCTCCCCGAGATCATGCGCTCGCTGAACCAGCTCTTCACCTCGGGTAACGTCTTATACTTTAACATAGCTAATACTCCCGTGTGGATTGTGGTCATGTGCAACGACTATGCCCGGCATCAAGACTCGGGTTAGTTCTCAGTGTATCAAGCCAGGTGGTCTGCTGCTGACCCGGACTTCGAGAGGATCATGATCCCAATCTGCCTGGCATAGAGCATGGCCTAGTATTGTGGAGCACGCTCGGCCACGTGCCGTTCAAGCCTAGGGACTAGACTAAAGAAGTCGGCTCAGATATGCACTTGACGGGTAACGGGCGCGAGGCGTTAGTGTCGGAGAGAAGGTTGCGTTACTTTGGTTGCTCTAGCATACGTCTTCCATAAGGCACCCCATGTTTCCCCCATCTTGGGCGGTCGAAAAGTCGATCACATTAGGATCCGCATCGATGCCCTAAGTCTATGGCTGGTGAGAGAGGACCTTGATGACATCGAAACTGCCTATCCTTTCGACATCGGTTTTCCGTACAACCTTTTGAGCGGGTATGACAAACGTGGCGCGAGTGAACTACAGGATATTTGGACTGCCAATATTTGCGGGATCTTTGATCATGTCGAAGACATTGACCCTATCTTGCCGAGATTTCCATAGCTTTACTTACGTTTGATAGTTTGTAGTCTTCGAGGCAAACAAGTCCGATTACGTCATCTTCGTCGTCGAGGGCCTGAGAAAGCCCGCGTATCTCATATACTTGATACTCTGGGAAACATACATTTCGCCTGGTTGAGCTCGAGGGCGGCCTAAGCTGAAGGCAATTTGAACCTCGAATATCTTGTCTGCTTGCATAACTCTCATGCTGCCGGGTCATGAGCAACGAGAAATCTTAAGGTCCAGCGATCTCGGCGCTCTTCAGCGGATGGACCTGGATCTACAGGGCGAAGTTATCGGTGGAAGAACGTAGCAACCAAGTTAATTCGAACAAGGCTAGGAGACTCTAGGAAATATTCAAGACCACACCCGGAACACCAATTTGGACGCCTCCTTCATCTGGCGAAAGGAGCTATGAGTAGTATCTCCCCCTTCTGCTGTCGGCTCTTCCATGACTGTAGCAGATCCGATGGAGAAGTGGGTCGACGTCTCTGATCTGGACGGCTTCAATCTGGGCTACGTCACTTCACCGGCCTCGTTTCGGAAGATGTCGTGAATCTGCTTGTGCCAAAGTCACGAAGGTATGGCATATACCTTGAGGCTCTAGAGCCTGCCTCGACGTTGCGCGAAACCGTCAAAAGGCTGAACTCGGCTCAGGGACGACCACGTAGGCAGTGAATATAAGTATGATACGTATCAGGAAGACAAGCCGGTCTTTGGTAATGACCACCTTGGAGAGAAGAATTAAGAGCAACAATGCGAGCTTTCCATGTAAGACGAAATAGCTACAAGATAGGGTAGACAAGATGATTCAAAAGTTAAAAAATCGCACGAGGCTTCGATCAAAGGCTACGACAAGGGCAATTGGGCAACGGCTGACATTATGTAGTACATGAATAGCTTCATAGGCCTCGAGATATACGCTCATAGGTTCTTCCTGACGCCTTGGGCCTTGAAAGCAGCAGAAATCTCTCCATATGCCACGTATATGGCATAGATCGGGATAAAAACCCATAGCATATTGAAGAAGACGAGGTACACCCAAAGGTACATGAAGTTGCTCGTGTCCAAGTAGATGTTGCCGGTCAGCCATTCGGGGCAGAAGGTCATAAATCCTAGATCATATCAGTTGACCCACTCGTTCCCGGAACGCCAGACATCAGTTGCCAACTCACCGCCATAAAGCTCCGCCGTTGCGATGACAATCATCCAAATGTTGACCTTGGGGTCACGCTTAGCAATGCTGTAGCAGATCCACACCGCCAGCGGTCCGGCGCCGAACACCGTTAAGAGCTCCAACGAAATCACACCCTAGGGGCCCAACAAGTTAGCCAGCATCTCGTCTCTGGAACAGCCCTTTTCGGCAACATACCAAGTCCGCGCCGGCCCATCTCTTATCAGCCCGCGCATAAACCATCCACAACTGCGCAAAGGGATTGCTTCCGCCCGCTTGGGCGCCATAGATGCGATCTGAATGACCGAGGAAATTGGCCGGGGTCGGGTGGAAACCGCTGAGGTCGGCGTCGGGCACGTCGGCGAGAGGGATGTAAGAGAAGAAGCAGTGATAGAGGAAGCTGCCCTCGAGGAAGAAGTGGATCAAAGCATCAAAGGCGTGCCAGATGAAGAGGACGCGATAGCTCGTCGATGTGGCGGGGTGGAGGACTCGACGAGACACAGCGATAGCTATGGACAAGAGGACGACGGTTGCTGCCAGGGAAATGAGCGTTGTCTGATCGAACAGATCCGGCGGCAAGGTTGAAGATGTGTTGGACATGGTAGGCAGGAGCGTGACGTGCAATTGACTCTATTCGTTCTTGATGATCGTTGATGAAGTTGTGTCGCGCCAGTAGTATGTTGTCACGTCCAACAGTCTTGCGACGTTCAAGCCAAGGATCCGTGCACCGGAACCCCAGGCCCGGTGTGGGGTAAGCATCAACACAAGTGGAGACTATTGGTGAATTATGCAAGGATAGATGTTGCATCGAGTGAAAATCATCATGATTTCAGATGGGATCTGGTGGAAAGCCTAGAGGTGGCATAACTTAGTATGTTTGGTGCCATGGATTGATTAATTAGACAAATCAGATTGTGATTAAATAAGGACTTTGAGGAACAGAAATATTCGATTATGACAGGTGTCACTCATAAATAGGAATTCGATGTGATCTTGGCAATGCAGTGGCATTAAAAGCTATTCTAGGTAGAAGATCCGTGATCAATTCCCAGGTATTCCTGCCTCATTGCGTGTCCCGATCCGTTCCAAACGCCTACTCATTGAAAATTCCCTGGTGTTTGGGTATCGTGGGAATGATTTAGTGCTTGGCCTGCTCCTTGTATCCCTCGCCCTTGAAGTCGTGCTTGGACTCGTCGATCTTGTCGCCAACGGCGTCCTTGGCAGCGGAGGCACTGAAGAAAGATGTTAGTTAAAAGCCATCATGAAGGTGGAAGGAACGCTTACCGGTTGCCGATGGAGACGTTGTCGTCCTTGGCGACCTGCTTGTTGGTCTCCTTGGAGGCGGTGGCACCGGCCTGCTGGACAGACTCGGAAACGTAGTTGGCGGCGTTCTTGATGGTCTCCATTGTGAAGTAGGTTGGGTTGTTTGGTAGGTTGGTTGGTGGTGTTGTTTGTTTGTATTGAAAGTTGATTGATTGTGAGTGTGATGAAGAGGAGAGAGATTGTGGTAGTGGTGGTGGGAAGAAGAGGTTTATATAACAAGTTGGCAGCAGTCTCGAGGCGCCCTCTCGTATGGAGGGAAGGCAGCTGCTGCCTCTTTTCGGCGTGGTGCCTTTCTGCCTTGCGGAAGTTGCCCCGCTGACAGGTTGAGTTTGATCATTCGAATACCCGTCGGTAAGGAAGGAAGGCACCTCACGGATGGGAGACAACGACACCTCAAGGAAGGAGGTACCTCCCGCTCCATCATAGCATAGGAAGGTACATCGCAGGTTGCCCCTCCGTCTGTCTGCCCCTCCCCCTCGTTTGATTCCTTGTCAAGTTCCCGAATGCAATAGTTTGGGCCGTGCCTATCGGGCTTGTCTCTCCCTGCGCGTGTCTTGCCCCTCCTCCGGGCTTGCCCACTCGTGGCTAGAGCGCAGTTTCACCCCATCTGGCAAAGACGCTCAGGGTCTATCATGTGAACTGAAGAAATGTCGTCATAGACTGTGACATCCTTCGCAGTTACTCCAGTTAGTGGAAGTTGAGGATGGATAGTATGGCCAATGCCCAGAAGCCAAAGGGAGGTCTCTATCGAAAATGACCAAGAGGTGGCCCAGGTGGCTCTTTGCGGACCTTCCATGTCTGTTTGGCAGTCGCACCAGCCACAGATGAGGAGAGCTACATACAGCTCTGGCAACCTGCAGGAGCTTTGGGCAAGCTACCTACCGTGCATTCCCAAAGTGACGTCAGGAGGACGTAGACGCACGAACGTCATACCTAGGTGGGTAGGCACGGAATTGGTAGTGTCCCCGCATGGACCTGGATGGTGGACCTATTGTGTATGGGCCTGAGGCTGGGCTTCCACTTTCAGCATCCCACGATACATACATACATACGTACCTTGCGGTACTCTAAATCTTTGCGGCCCCCCATGCCATAGAAGGACCCCACTTGCATCTCTAGGCGCACAATACGATGGGACTTGCATGGTCGTTGGTCCATCCGCGATTGCAGCAAAGACAACCATTGCCACATGCAAAGAAGACTTGTCCATTCTCGCGTCAGTCGCGTAATGCTGGCCACCGAAATACGTCAGTTTGTCGATTGCGAGCAGTGGCCAGCCAACCAGGCTACACGTCCTGTCTTCAGAGAGGATGGCATTTTTGCAAATCTCGATCATGCTGTCTACTTTCCCCACCCTCTCCGGGACATCATCTCCCATCATCTCCCATTATTGGAAAACACATCCACACTCTCCCGGTCTCACCCACGGAAGCCAAGCAGGCTCGCAGCCACAGTGGATCACACGATGAGCGCAAAGAGGGCAAGCAGTAAAAGCAGATTCGACGGGACGGGAGAGCTATGAACAAGCATCAACCACTCGAACTCAGCTTCACCGGGTGAGCACAGATCAATGAGCCTACTGGACAGCGCCAACCACCGTGTTGCTGATTCGCTGCGTTACAATAGAGCTCCATGCGAAGTGACGACACCGCCAGGTAGCTTTGTGCTTTGGGCCCAGCAAGCCATCCAAGGACCGTTCTGGACCACCCAAAGCGTTCGAGAATCCAGACAACATCGCAGCTGCCAACCCCCAGAGTCCGCGTCTGCCCCTCTGCCTTCTGGAGTATGGAGTCGGTCGTCTGGATGCGGCAAGATGCGGGTTTCAATTTGCACTTGCGCAGCCCGGCGAATTCCCGCAACCTACGAAACAGTTGACTGTTTCCCGATTCGCCCCTCCACAGCAAGCACGCC